GCCTCAATTTGTTCTTATTTTGTTCTTAATTTTTAAGCAGTTTCTTATAAAATGTGTACTTATAAAAAAAAAAGTGTATATCCAATAGAAGCATGTAGCGCCAAAGTCTGACTTACAATCGAGTCTGGGTTCGAGGCCGATGCTGGTGACCACAAAATGTGTCCTTGGGAAAAAATTTAACTCCTTTTGTGTCTTTCCACCCAGGGTATACATAGGCCCTATCTGTAGGTACCTGGTAAGTAAGGCCTAAATGGTTTGAAATAGGAATACCAGTTCTCGGGATTTGCGCATTTGATGCTTGGTATGAGTCTAAAGATACTAAGGTATTATACACTTTATAATAATCCTGTATTAATTATTCATTATGATGATTTATTTAAGTTTAATATTTCTGTATTCTAAAGATACATATGACTCCAATGACCTATTGTCAGATCGACCAGATGACGTTTATCAATAACATGTCGGCTGAATCCGCATCTACAGCAGAGAACAACAATAATAACAGTGGCACGATGAAATCCAGAGAACAGGTAAGATGAATTTGATTGAAGTTCGCCGACTGCAACGTAATCCGTACTTATGATGATAGGCTATATACTATTTGATGTAGATTAGGAAGGTACATTAATGAATTACATTCACACGCTACCACCGAAATCACACACTTTTAATTCAGTCATTTAATAAGTTATCAAGTTTTGGGACGTATATTATACATATTATATATAACCGGTATTTGTCTATAAGGTCTGGGTTGGATTCAGTAGGCTAGCATATCTCAGACTATAGTATTGACATGGGAAAAGGGGATGGGGTTGGGGATATATGTTAAATGAAGAAACAAGAAGTGCGCCCTCACTAATTATCACGAAAATGCCTAATACCTTTTTTTTTTAGGACTGCTTATCCTATATTGACGTATATGGTAGAATACTAAAAGAGCGAAGAAACTTACGAATTTTAAATTGGCCTTTACCTGTTTTTTCAGTTCTATCTGCGAAGCTAATTATTTATATTTAGTTTTTTTTTTAGAAATTCTTGTTCAACTTTAATATTTAAATTCTTCAAACATTAATGCTGACTTAAAAGCCTAATTTCCACTTCGGACACAACAACGGCACGCGACCGTATTTCTTAATTAATTGTCGCCTCGCGTTGAGTAGAGATGCTCATCAACAACCCAGAATACTTTATGAATGTGTTCAATACGTTCACTGTGTGTGTCAGACGTAGAGGTGGTATATCATATCATCCACTCCGCTCTACAAGATGCCCAGGCAATTAACGCGTCCAGTAGAAAAGAAAAAAGAAAAAGAGTGCCGATCCAACCAAAGATCAGTTGTATAACTCTCGTTGAATGATCTATTTATCTGTATAACGTCTATCTGTCTATCGTATTGTCTATGCGTCAAGTGCAAATAAATTATTTTTGATTATATTAGGAGACGGATTATCGATTGTGTTGTTATGTTAAGCAGTACCAGTTAATATCAGCAGCTATTGGTGCTTGAACAGGCCAACTTCAACTTAAACCCCAAAAAGCTAGCCGTGAAAATGGGCTTAAGACTTTTTGTCAGTCTATTTGCAGAGGCATTTTGTCTATGACTCGAACACAAAGTAGAAAAGCATGCCAGTAATATTTTGTTATTTAGGGTCGCCTAGCCGGTACCTAAAGAGCCCAGTATCCATCAAAAACTGTGAATGTCATACGGAATTTCCCACGGGCAGCATAAATAAGGTCAACACTGAGTGTCAATGACAATTTTGTATATGAAAAAGATGAGATGCACTATCGAGTAGGCTATGGGTTCGTTAGTGCAAGTAGACAATATAAATATTTATTATTGTTTTATATAACAAATGTGCAAATCTCTGGCGGGATTCGAACCTGCAACCTCTCGCTATCAAAGCGGGTGTCTTACCCATTCAGGCCTGTCCAGACTATCAAATTTTGTTTGACGAAAACATGTGACATGTCTAAATATAGTCATGATTACATCACATCATGACCATATATAGGCACATCATGACTATAATATATGGGCATACAACATTTTTTTTTTGTCAAAGAAATAAGTCTAGATAGAGCTTTAGACCACTGAGACATATGATATACGAGCAGGTCTAACCCCCAGGCACATTCTCTTATACCACTGACTGAAACGCTAATAGTCATACAATAAATGGAGCTCCCTGGCTAGAATAGATCGGATCTACATACAGTACAGATATTCGTGGTCTTGGGGTCTGACACTAACGTCAAATAACAAATCTTTCCATCGGTTTTCGTTTGTATGCTTCTTCACATGCAACAGCAAATTAGTCAATTGCAGAATGGTACTAATAGGCTTAAGTAGTCGCATCAATATGTATGAGGTTAAGGGGAGGATATTTAATTGTAAGAAAAAACAATAATTTTACAGGATTTCAACCAACACGTTGTTTGACAAGCTACTACTCATTACGTGCGTTGATCAGTTTTCCGAGACTTTCACGAATCCGATGATTCCCAACCAAGGGGGGGCTTGAAATATATATGCTCAAAACAACGGTGTGCCTTTCCAACTTATACCAATAAATCGGACAAGTTGCGTGAACGGTATCAGGGTATCAAATAATTTGTTTATATGTCTTTCAATGATGCGCAATAACTTGCGGGTGGTTTAAGCTGGTACAAATTATTGCATTATACGCAGTCCCGAGCATGCTGGCATGAAATTGTTGGGATAGACAGCCATTGTTTTAGATAGTTAAAAGCTCTTGTATAGACAAAGTTCTATTGACGACCTATAGAAAACATAGGCCTAACAGTGTTAATATATAAATTACAATTAGGCCTACGCACAGTTTGGTTTCAATTGTTCATTCATGTGTCTAGTTGGGTGAATGTGCTGATGCCGGAGTGTAAATAGGTACCGGTACATATTATAGGCCTCATATCAGCCTTAGTTGCCCTACCTGTCTTTCTATTAATACACCGGTATCTAATGCTGCGAAATTAAATATTTGTTGTCAAATTTAAGTTTGCTCCGTATCAATTGAAGTTACAATACCTCCACAAAAATACTAGGTCTAAATGTTACGGTATTATTTTCGCTGGAATCGGTTTTTTTTTCTAAAACAGACAGTAGACCTATATTACTCTAGAATGTACGGTACCGTAGGCCAAGACACCATAGTACTAGTTGAAATTTTAAATATATTTTTATCCCGAATAAAGGCGAACTCCTTCTACTCAAATGTCAAGAAAAACAAGTTAGCAACAATATAACCTTCAATTCTATATATTTCCCAGCCCATCGAAATAAGTTTTAGGCACAACCCATTGTTTTGAACTACACCGACAACCTGTTAGGTATTGCAACTAAATATAGCGATTTTATTTTTAGACGTGATTCTCTTAGTAAATGTATTATTTATAATTTGATATCTGCAGATCTTATGTTGTTATTACTGTTAAAGCATATGTTGCTGTTTCCTATTAATGAGCTTTAAGTATAATTCAATGTCATCTTTATACCGTAATTGTTCTACATGGTGTTTATCCCACGCCCTTGCCTGGAAACTCATGTTTCAGCAAGTATCGTTTACAAAGGTACGAGCTAATTACCCTCCGTTCCCAGCAAAATAAAGGGCTAAAGGGGGTATCCCTACCAGGTGGTTGGGTTTTAAGCGTACAGTATTCCGTACCACCTGGGAGCCACACGTCCAAATCACCTGTCAAAATATATGGGTCACGGTTGTATCCGTGTGTACTGTACTTGCTTCTTGTAGCATGCTCCGTGTTGTGTGCAGCGATGACAACAACAAAGGACGTGTTAGCAACTCCGCGGGGGATTAAAACACGACACAACTTGCACTCAAGTAAACAACCAACCAAAAGCAATCGGAGGTTAGTTAACCATTTAAAGCCAAGCGAGTAACACCTACTCTTCTGGAAATCTGCTGGCAGGAAACCAGTCTTAATAGTTTGTATTAATTTGCAGCAGGGTGATAGTTGATAAAAGTGTAAGCAGTTTATAGTTGAATAACCAGTTTAGTTTGAACCTCGAAAGAGCAAGTCGTGTTTTTCTCTTACATACAACCGAGTTCACCAAAACCATGGTACTTATTAATCTACTGACGCGAAACACTGCTGTAGAGAAAGAAAATCATGTAGCCTTGGTAAGATTTTACAAATTAGTATTTATAATTTGTTTTCGTATTTCAAGAAATATTTCAGCATTGTTTGCCTTTTCAGACCTATAAATTCTTTAAAATGGTTTTCTTCTGGGACTTAATGGGCATTTTGTAAAGGGATCCAATTTTATGGTTTTAATTTTAGCCCACCCAGTGCAATACCACTGCACCAGTCGATATAAAATATAATGAGGGTAAGATCTATAATTCTTCCTTATTTGAATTTTACTTTTAGCACACCAAAAGCTAGTAATGTAAATGCACTTTTTACATGGAGTGTAGTGTATCGATATTTGTTAAGTATAAGCTGGTATAAGTTTCCTATGATAAATTACTGTACGTGTACGGTTTAAAATCTTTATTTGAACTGTCCTATTTTTAGTTATAAATAACTTATTCATTTCTTATTGCACTTCCTCTCTTAAATCTCATTTTAATTATGACGGTATTTTTTTTACTTTAGTAATGCCATGAATTCAACAATAAACGACCGATGTGCTTCGCTAATCGTGTGTTAATGACCATGGATGGCTTATAATAGCCTTTTTATTCTTAAAACTGATACATTAACAAAGCAAAGCCTGTTTCATTACATTGATGTTTATAGTTATTTCGTATTTATTTAAACGGAGATTAGATATTGAGGGTTGGTTTTATTGTTCGCCCAAACACTCAGAATAAGCCCTGTCTCTTATACACATCTAGATGTGTATAAGAGACAGATATATTATTGAGCAATTGATAGACTGGCTCTATATTTGGATAGATTTCAGGTTTTTTGTGTGGGTATGTACACTTTATCACAGACCCATGCAACATGTTTCTTTGAAAGTGACTCTTGATACTGACCACGTGCTTCATTGTGTGTAGGGGTGTACATCCTTGGTGGTGAACTATCGATAAGTTGTTGACGCTTAGGTATAGCATATTGTTAAAGTTAATTCATATCTAATAGACTTCGTCATTATTTATCACTGACGTCTCTAACTGAATATTACTTGTCTGTTATTTAACACTAAATTACTGATACCGTGAGTGACGTGTATTATTCCTGCATGAAGTAACACTTATCACAATTCTCGGTATTGTTATGCAATGATTGGCAGAGCGTCTATCATGAGTATTGACATTAATGATAATACTATCTTCCAAGATCACCAATGTCAAGACCATTGTGACTTCTTGTCAATTATGTGTCAATCAAGTGTTGAAGGGGTGGTGACCAAGCATTGTCCATCTTGACTGACACATAATAGCTGGATCGACGTAACGTTTTGGTAACAATGGAATTGCACACAATACTGGTGTAACGGGGAGGGGCTAGCAAGCGGGGAGGAGCTTAGTACGTAGACCCATAAGATACTTTATCAAATAATATTACTGTTAATAGTGAAATAATAATGATCATGATATTAATAATAATAATAATAATAATAATAATAATAATTAGTGAATAATAATATGATGATAATGATAATGCTATTAATAAATCTGGTAATGATCATCAAAATTAATGGATAATTAATGTGATTCTACTGGATGTCATGTCAAATGAATTTATTATTTTTTGTCCATGGATTCACAGAACGTGTTGCAGATTTATTGGGAAATCCCCTCAATTGGGAAAACCGGTAAACCCTGAGCCTTTCAGCCGGGATGGGATTACTGTTTTTCAATACGAGAACTCTAGATTCCTTCACTCAGCATAGTACACAGTAAATAACATTAAAATGATTACCGGTATCTACCTTTTCCGTCGAGGCAATTAAGATTATGTTCATGGTGAACGACATCCGACTCGTCGTAATTAATTACTTTGTAAAAATAGCCAATACATTAATGCATAGAAAACTTTTGTGAAACCGCTAGTAGATACTCAATTACCGACAGTTAATGTGACTTAATCAATTACGGGTTGTGGCCTTATATTTACTAGTAATGGGTTCGTCAGGCGGCTCAGTTCGAATTTCATGGTTCATTCATAGTGCAGTCCTATACATCCTATTCTATTATACCATCTGTGCCTGCGCGCTTAAAGGTCCTGTGCAGTATCCATAAAGATAAGATATAATTAGTATTATTATTGTATAATATACAAATGAAACATAACCCTGCAAACACAGAACGTTATATAAAAGTCGCGTACGTTGTGGTTATGTCAGAGCGTTAATAATATAACGTTTCAGCAAAAATAGCCAGAAATTACGCTATAAATACGTCTATAATAGGCTACATATGGTTAAGGTTCCACAATAAACTTTTGAAAACCAAATGCAACGTTACTAAAACGTCACGATAGCGTAAATTCGTTAGATGTAAAATAAGCTGTTTACGTTGCTGGGCTTTACGCAAACATTCCGCACTCAATGCTTTACTATCTTATGATTCGGGCTTACTTAAATTCATCACTCCTGGTACAACAACGCGATAACGCACGATGTGTAGACTATTAGAATAGCAATAAATCATGTTACATTACATGTAGGCCTCTTGTGCTCAATAATAATTAGGGAAGCCACAGAATACAGAACAGCATAATTCAAGGGCTGCAGTACTTCAAGGGCTCATTGAGGTGTCTGTAACCATGTGGATAAAATTCTTCATTCATTCTGATAAAGGTCCATGATAAGTGTCCCGGATGTTTCAGGAAATTGGCCAATAAACAATAAATGATAGATAAACAACCTTCGGTCTCATCATAACATGCTGTATCGTATGCTTCGATAATTAATTAAAATTCTTAGTGTACCTTACAAAAGGCAAATTCCTTATTTTATTTTGGTGGTTGATACCAGGTAATTATTTTGTGTAATAGTGGTTTGGACTAGGTTTATCTTTGCCACCAATGCCTATTGCCCATATTGACCCGCGTAACGTTCCCTCGTTATGCACCGACGCACCATATCAACACAAAGTCTTATAAACAAAGAGTTTTTTTGTTAATCTAACGCTGTGTTAACTTTTCATTCTCTTCCATAGCTACAAAGGGAGTTAAAGCAACTCGAGTATAAATTGAAGCAAGCGAACGATCAAGTGGCAGAGCTAACAAAACGGCTTGAGATGCAGTCGAGCAAAACAAGACAGCTGATCGCCGGCTGGAAGCTAGAGCTGCAAGACAGGGAAAACTCTCTGGATAAACAACTCAAAGAAAAAGACAAACAGTTGAACGATATCTGTGCTGAACTCATCCATTTTGAAGCAACTTTGAAAAAAGAGCGAAACTCTATTGTACAACAACTAAATGAGAAGGATAAGAAAATTAAGGAACAGGACAGGAGAATTAAAGAGCAAGAGAAACATATAAAAGCACTAAACTCGGCGAATGAAAGATTACTGGAAAGTCTGCACGAATCAAGAGTGTCTTCCTCTCCACCATCGTCACCCGCTTCACCATCGTCTCTCTCGTCGTCTCCGTCGGCAACGTCTCCATCAGGACTACTGAACAACAATAACATTGTTTTTTCGCCACACTATAAACATATACGACATAATGGAAACACAAGTTCACCACGAACCGTGAGGTTCAGTGAAGATGTCAGGGATAACGAAGAAAAGAAACCAACGCCTAAGTCGGCCATCCGAATTCGAAAGATCTCATTGCCTGCTTATCGCCTACCAGAGGACGAGGAAGACATCGTTAGGTACTGCTAATTTGTCCTCTTTATCAGGCAACTCGACAACCGTGTTATTAATTCTTTCATTACAACGTTAATTGCAATAGGAAACTGCCTTCATTTGCCTTCCTGGCCAGGACTTCTTGAAACACATAAGGGACAAAAGCCAGAAACTGTATATATACACACATAAAAAGACGGTACTTAATTGGAGGTAGGCCTACTGACAACACCGGTGCTACAAATGATTTTGTTGTTGGGAAGAGCTACTACAAAAGACTCAAGGCGATATGCAAATTAACTTGACCTTTTTATATCGTTTAAACCATAGTTCAAAGATATTTCGCACGTAAAAATAAATTTAAATACTGATTGAATATTGAAAGAGGATTTAAAACTACTGTTGTTAAATAGATATGTATATGGACTGCGCGCGCACTGCACGTACGTACGTGCAAGTCAACGTGAATACAAAGTATGTCGTAATGGCTTCTGATCATGCTATTACTGCATCGACGATAGCTCTAGAATTACTTTGTATCATCCGTCCATATTGATGGAATGTGCAATAAAAAATACAACTTCTCAGTTCGTTAAACTAGGACTGTTATAGAAAGAACAATTTAAATACATCGAATGTGTTGTAAAATTATGGGGGATCAATGTTATATGCCTATAAGGTACTTTATTCTAAATCACATTACATATATTTTGTTAGAAACTTGCGAAAGGGAACAAACGTTCAGTTTTAATTCAAGGTTTGTCAAAGACAGAATATTACAACATTGCAAACAGACAAAACGCAATAGTATTAAATGCCTACCGTTTTTAATGGTGATAAATTTAAGTTAAAATAATTAAAGGCCCTACAACTCAATATGATGTGATAAATAAATTGGTGATCGTCCGGGGATTTTTTATGGGGAATGTTCGTCTATATTCCATAGGAAATTTAGACCTATTGAAATGAATGCTGAATGAAATGCTTATTCGTAAAAAGTAGCTTTATAAAAATGTCTGTGTTAAATCAATGTTTAGGCATACCCGTTTAACAGACGTAGCATCGGGCGTAGCATATATGTTTCCTGTGATATTTAGGGTAAGTTTTCATGGCTTATGTGGCCATTTGTTAATACTATCAGATGATTTTATATTGTTCAATTTGAACTACTTTTAAGAAATAAAATTGATGTATAATAAAAGTTGATATGAAATAATGTGTTCCCAATGTGTGTAAACTGTGAAGGCGCGTGTGGATTTTTGACAGTGTTATAAACACACAAAAAAACCGTTCGGGTTGCGGAAACCAGAGCAGAGAAAAGAAAATCAAAACCATCAAATGTAGGTTATATTTAAATAATAGTAAGCCCTAAGCCTTGCCTTAATAGATTATGATCTACGCCGCCTCACCTCTAATCCAGGTAGGCCTACAGAAAAAGAAGAGTGGGACCACCGGTCCGTAGAAACAAGTACAAATCCAACATTATATATAATGCCAGATATAGAAAAGAAAGACTAGGAGCAGCAGGCATAAGCACTAATCTAATATACTACAAAGGGATATTGAGATGTCAGGTGACTCCACATGCAAATAAAGCAAAAAATTGAATTTTAAAAAGAATGGAAACCGGTTTGTTCCGCACTCACCAAACTGGAACACTATCCAAATTTAAGTCAACCACTGATTAACTTGACCATGTTGGGTCCGACTCCGATTGGTACTAATGGCGCTTAACTAGGGGTAATAGCCTACTAAAGTATGAAGGCTTAGTAGGCCTGCAGTACTTGTTCAGTTAATGTAGCCTATACATTACTTCTGTTTTTCTAATTGTCCAGGCAAATTCCCTCCTTTAATATCTGACACAACATCAAATTCGATAACAGTTATATTCAAAGCGGGCTTTGCTTTTATAAAATCTTCAATTGTGTTCAATCGCTATAAAAAAAAATGTATGTAGGCTATGTGCATTTTCCCTGCTTTAAGATTGAAAACAGCAAATACAATTTTCTACAATAATTAATAAATATCACAGCGTAACTTTGTTGGAAGACTACGTAAACATAATAAATAAGCAAACTTTCTTGCACCAAATCTTGTAAAGTATTTCTTAAATTTGCTTGGTGACGATTATATAAATTCAACACGTAGCAACAACTGCAAAATGTTGAACAATTCTCGCTCGTTCTTAAAACATCGGCCTATAGTATAACTCCTATAAGCATCCCATCCCGTTTTACTGTCACATACAGGCCTATTACATACCATGTGTAAAAATCACGGGCTACCTAAGGCCGATTTACCCAGAGTAACTTTAATCGAAATATATTATCCCTAAATTGCCTATAGAAATACACATATCTAAATGACGTCATTAAGAGCTCACATGTCATTAAACCAAAGTAAAGTCTTAAAATCTACAGAATTACCGTACTGCAGTACAGTTGTCCGGAAACAGTAAAAATCAATCGCAAAAGAAAGAAAAAAAATTGATGGCGAAGCCGTCATTAAAAAGGCTAAAATCACCTTTTCATTTCAGTGATTTGAAATGAAAAGCAAACACTGATGATAATCCTATAAGGAAACATACTGTCTTTTTTAATACGTAATTTTAAATTCAGCCTCCTATTTGTCGAAAACGTATGATGATACGTGCATAAGGCTTTTCCACAAACATTGGCTAAAAACTGCGCGCACTGAGAACAGTGACATCCAAAAAGACCCACAGCATATAAATAGACCTGTCTATAACACCTAGAGACGGCACTATTTGTCACCCATCCCATGACTAGAATATTTGATGTTTGAAAAACTGAGTGGGATTAAAAAATGTCGCACTAGGATGTCAACTGAAACTCCAAAGCTATAAGCCCTATAAAACTAAGTAAAGGACCTTTGATCTTTCTTCTGTATCTCTGCTTATCACTCCAGTGTATACCAATTAGTTTCGTTTCCGTTCAATTTTGTTAATAGCAATCATAATGTCTTGAGTGTTTTTAAAGAAATTTAGGCTCACTCAACGGTATACTAAAGGCGGCCCTGGAAAACACCTGTCTACTTTAAGGAGCAACATTCGCCGTTTTTTAGCATTCTCTGTGGATAAAAGATATCTCTATGATAGGCTATTAATTGCTCCGACCATGCTCCGACATATTGTATATGACTTGTCTCTCTGACGCCGTACTTACTGCCTGCCTGCTGACGCCGCGCGTTCAGATGCCGCGTCCGCCTGTTCCGTAAAGTTTATTATAACAATGAAAAACATGGAATAACAGGGTATACAGTAGGCCTATGGCAGGATATATCTGGCCTTGATTTATATTAGCCGCTGCACCAACGCGTTAATGACCGCATTCATTTTGTCTGTAAATTCCCGGTTTTCGAGAATCACCCGAATTCGGAAAGCCGCCGCTCTCCATATGAATGCGAAGTTTCCAAAGCTTTTCAAAAAGTGTAGATTTGCGCATAGTTTTCATAATAGCCTTATCATAGTGCGCAATATTTGAACGTGTCTGCGCATTTTCCGAAGCATGAGCAGTCTCCGAACGGCGCCGCAGTTCATAAACCCAAGCACGAGTGGGAACATTTTGGTGATAACCTATGATTAGACTTGTTAATAACACTATTTGTGCCAAGTTCTCAAGGAAGCTTATTAATACTACAACATTATATAGCACGTCCCAGTTGTACCTAACTATAAACACATGCAGTAATATTTTTAAACCCTCAGCCGATACTCGGTATGTTCGGTTGGATAATATCCATCGGATGCCCATCACCCTTTGCCTACTAATATTGGCAAACTCATAGCCTACGAGAACATACGAACACCAATGATTTTGTGTTTGTTATTTGTGTATATGTTGATTCACTCAAACTCAGTTTACCAAGCAGGCTTGACTTTTTCAACCTGTTCTTGGAATTCAAGAATGCAAACACGCATCATCTGAGACGTTTACAGTAAATCAAAACATACCTAGGTTGATTAAGCTTATCTTCGTGTAATATATTCTAGGCTTGTTTTTGTTTGATGTGTTTTCACATTATTTATTTGACAAAAATAATATCCAATTACTAGTTCATAATTTAGGCCTAAATCACGGAGCACTCAACTCAAAATATATACTGTAGGCCTAAGCCAGCTAATAGTATCTAAAACTTTTGAATTACGGAACTATGTGAGAAATTGCAAATTGCAAGTGAAGTGCTGCGAAGTACAACTGCATATAAATGTTCTTCGAACAAAATTATTTATGCGAGTCAAGTGAAAATAATGAATAATAAAAATATAACAAGTAATATGAGCACGACCCATTGTCTATATGACCCATTGTCTATATTAGAACACTTCTCATTGGGTAACAAAGTCGTAATTTTTCATTTTTGTCAAAAAGTGTCTATAGTGGTGAATTATGGTTTAGGTTTTTTTAAAATAAAGTTTCAAAAATTTATATGTATGTGGAAAATGTAGTTGATTACCAAAGGTTACAATTTTTATTTTGAAGACTGCATGGTCTAGGAAGTGTACATTTTTTTTATGGGGCAAGTTTCCAAGGGCGGGC